GATGAGTAATACTTATGCAAAGCTTATAAGTTAATCAAAAATCTTAATAAATACATAAAAAGCAGAAATGCTTCGTTGAATAACAAGCTTATTGTTTCTTCCACGCTCAAACTGGCGCCTTTCGTCCTGCGCGAACGTACTGGTTTCACTTGATTTCGGGAGCTGCTGCTCCATTATTATAGCTCCATGGATACGTCGATGGCAAGAACACGATTTAAAATTCAAAATTGATCCGGAAGACCACGAGAGATGTGCTGACACAGAATCGAGAAATTATAAATGTTGTCATTGAACCTTTAACTAATGCAGCATTGTCGAAGCGAAAACTACAATGTCCGTTGGATACTGTAAAAGAATTTAGAATACAATTAAAAGAATTTAGATATACAGTACTTGCTATCATCTTTTGCGACCCTACACTTTTGGTACCCTGACGCTTATGGTGGCCATTCGGAACCAGCAAGAATTGAGCAACATTAAATAAGGTCTAAAGGGCCTTGCTGTCCTTGGAAAACACCTCTAGGAGAACTATTAATGTTAAGCTGTGTTCAATGAAGAATTCGAGGATCCAGCTGCCAAAATGTAGGCTGTGAACAGATTCTAGGGAGCTCAACAAACTCATATTGCTGGGGTTTCGGGCGCTCAAGCCCGAATAAATTTCGACAGTGGCATAGCGTGGGTGTCAGTCGCCTGGCGGAGGAAAATTTCGCCGCCCCCTTATTTAGGTATCTCAATTTAAAAGACTAAAATTCAGTTTCGTCACAGAATTAAAAATTCCATGCTCATTTCAATCGGTCCGAATCGTAGGTGCGACAAAAATATGAAATAAAATGGTTCAAATTTTTACAAGATATTATTATTATTTATTGTGAAATTTTGCCGCCCCCTAAAAGTGCCGCCCCCACTACGCTACACCACTGAATTTCGATATTTGACTAATTACATGGCCATTTTGAAGCTCTATGAAACGGGTATTAATTAAAGTAGGCTATATTCTAAGATCAATAGGGTAGGGTTAAAAGGGTTAAGTATTTCAAACTACTGGCTTATGATTCTATCACTAAAATAGCTTTATTGTAAAGAAAAAAGCTTTAAAAACTTCATCGATTTTGTTGACAAATTCACAAAAATTATTAAAAATTGGCTTCATAACTTCTTCGGAATTAGTGACACATAGCTTAATTTTCATTAATTTTATAATAGATTCGCTACTGAACCCGAAACAAATTTGCCTAAAATGTAACTGCAATTCCAGATTCCTCATAAATCATACATGGCTGAACTGGCGTTCCATCTGGTTCTAAAAAGCAAATTTGTCGCCATCGAGCTTTAAAAATGCTCGATGGCGACAAATCTGAAGACAGCTGGTGATATCATGACGGCAGGGCCGGATCATCGCATAGACAAATGAGACAAATGTCTATGGCCCGGTCAAACTGTCTATTTTGAAAAGATTTGTAAATAAGATAGCTTACTTTTCTATTGGACAATTATAGTATTTGTATATAATAATCAAATAAACAAAAATATATTGCTTTTTATATGGTTATTGTGAATTCTAGAATCTAAAGTAAATGTGTTTTTGCGTTCTTATGTGGAAGGGGGCCCGATAAGAAGAAAATGTCTAGGCCCCAAAGTGGGTTAATCCGGCCCTGCATGATGGAGACATTTCTTAGAAACCTAGTCGTGTGCCACCCTAGGATTATCTTGCTGGAAAATAGATGTTTGCAACCCTGCCATGAAAGGCAACATATAAGGGTTTAGAACAGTGTTTCTCAACCTCTAACAACACGTCGCCCCTTTCAACGTAGTATCGCCCCCTTCACTTCAAAATTCCGATGCCCAGGGCCAAGGCTAACGCCAAATTCTAAGAAAATGAATAGACTAGTGACTAGTATAATGTTATTTGTTTAATTATTGTACGATATAACGAATAAAATATCTAATTATTCTTAATATAATGTTTTACTATATCATTCAGAAAATTGTTTTTCGCCCCCAAATTATAAATTGTTGCTAATCGCCCCCTAAACACGGAAAAACGCCCACATGGGGCGATATCGCCCCCATTGAGAAACACTGGTTTAGAACTTCCGGAACGTACCACTGTTCCCATCAATGTCTCTCGCAGTACTAGGGCTGACCGACAATTATATGAGATGGCTCCTTAGTCTAACATTAGTAATATCGTGCAAGAAAAATAATTGTCAGAGATCAGACAAGCATTTCTTTTTGTGATGTATCTGGGGCATCCAGAGCACTGTCTATGTCTGCCCTCATGTATCCAATGCTTCCAATACCTCGCAGTCGGGTCAGAACGGTCCAGATGGCAAAGCAACTTGGCAAAACGACCATCTTACTTTCCTCAATTCAATGATGCGACCTTTTTCAAACTCCGTCAGCTGTGCACAATGTCTCTGATTGTGTCATCCGGGCAGCTGTGCACAATGTCTCTGATTGTGTCATTAAAGATTTCCTCGAACCCATAGGTACACAGAAAATTTTGAACGATAAACCTGGGCTACTGACTTTAAGGCAATCAGGTGGAATTACCTGGCGTTTAATCTTACCACAATTGTAATTTGTATACAGTGACACCCCTAACTTACGCGATAGGTGGGACCGAGCGATAACCGCGTAAGTCGGGGTATAATTTCGCAATTTGTGTAAAATCCAAGTCGGATGTATGTAAGCTAATAAACGTTCTCGTTAATCTTATCACGGTTACAAGAAATCACCACATAAAGTCTCTCAAGTCTCCGTAGATATCACAAACACAAAAATAAATAACACAAAATAAATTGTAGCTATGTGTCGATTCCGCGCGACACGTCCGAACATGTAAGCCGAACAATAGTGTGAGGGGAGTGAGTAATCGAGAGTTGCGTTGCTCTCAAACAAAAGAGGAATCGACGAGATTTGAAAATCGCGTAACTCCGGGTTCGCGTAAGTCGGGGTAGCGTAAGTCGACGTATTACTGTATCTGTTTGAGACATAGGTCTACAGTGAGTTTAGTAGTAATCAGGCAATTCTATCTGGGTGCGTAACTTTTTGTAAATGAATGGTGATTAAAAGTAAATTGTCATACAAATGCAGTATTATTTAAACTTTAAAAATTATTCAAAAATTCTCCTTAGAGAAAGCTTAACTCCAATACTTTTAATTAAGAAATGGAATGAAAGATGCTAATGATTCACAATCTCTCTCTCTCTATATATATATATATATATAACTAGCTGTTACCCGCGACTTCGTCCGCGGAGGTTTTGCAAGCAAACCCCATTTACATTCAATATTTCAATAACCATAGTAATTGTTAGGTCTATATAACACCTACCGCTGAAGAGAATTGCCGCGAATCAAACGAACTATTTTCAATTTGATGAATTTTCTGGAGCGTTTACAATCGTTCTATAATCGAACCAATATACAATAACAAATTCGAATTTAAAACGGTTTGTGGCCGCCAGCGCCAGAGATCCTGAACACTGTCTGGCAACACTTGCCAAGATCACGAACTCTGTCTGGCAACACTTGCCAACAAGAGTGGCTGGCAACGTCAGAAAAAGAAAAGGCGCGAAAGTTCGTTGGATTTTGTCCGGGTGTTGCCCGAGGATGTCTGTGACAGTTCTAACCTTTTCTAATAAAGTTCTTTTTTGTTACTGTTCGTGTTTGCCTGCTTAATGTTAGATCTAAACATCAGTAGGATTGAATGACAAAGGTTCAAACATTTTTAAAATCGAAATAGATAAAAATATTTATAACAATGTCAGAAATGTTATTAATTTAATACACCTAAGTACTCGATGAAGACTAAAACTTCTCCCTCTCCCGCCCGCGGGAGAATTTCGAAAAATCCCTTCTTAGTGTGCATTCTCATGACATACCCTACTAAAACGCAGATAAAAACAAAAAATCGCATCTAAAATAGTACAGTAGAAGCCGTTGTTCCGGTTAAGCCTTAATGCTCTCCCTCTCCCCCCCACTTTGGAATTTCGAAAAATCCCTTCTTAGTATGCGTTTTCATGACGAACCCTAACTGTGTACCAAATTTCTGCTCTTTAGGTCCAACGGTTTGCTCTGGGCGATGATGAATCAGTGAGTCATTCAGTCAGTCAGGACAAGCAATTTTATATATATAGATTGCTTGTCGTGACTGACTCATTCACTCACTGATTCATCATCGCCCAGAGCGAACCGCTGAACCTAAAGAGGTGAAATTTGATACACAGTTAGGGTACATCATGAAAACGCTTACTAAGAAGAGATTTTTCGAAATTCCCAGCGGGGGGGAGAGAGCATTAAGGCTTAACCGGAAGAACGCTTTCTACTGTACTATTTTACATGCGATTTTTTGTTACGTTTAGTCTTCATTAAGTACTTAAGTGTATTAAATTAGTAACATTTCAGACATTGTTATAAATATTTTTATATATTTCGATTTTTTAACCAAATGTTCGAACCTTTTTAAATTCGAATTTGTTATTGCATATCAGTTTGATTATAAAACGATTGTAAACGTTCCAGAAAATTGATCAAATTGAAAATAGTTTGTTTGATTCTCGGCAATTCTCATCATTCTCGGTGGTAGGGTGTTATATAACAATTACTATGGTTGTTGAAATACTGAATATAAATGGGGTTTGCTTGCAAAATCTCCGCGGGCGAAGTCGCGGGTAACGGCTAGTATCACATATATTGAAAAAGATGTACAATATTCCATTTCATTAATACAGTACTTAATCATTTCAATTTTAATAACGTTTACTTTCCCGGCTGTCATATATAACAGAGTGAAAGTATGGCGATCGGTCAAAAATGACCCCCTCCCAAGTTTCTTACATTTTTGGACTTATTAGCATCTTAAATCATATATTTAATTTTGAGCAAGAAAGTAAAATTTAATATAAATTACTTATGCATGGGAAATTAATTTATATATTAATTTAAAACTATTTTTAAAAAAATATACTATATGACGTCACGTAGAATCATACGTCAATCACCAGGTGGAGATAGTCAATCGACGGAAGAGTTTGGATGAACGGAACATATGCGTTGGGTTAACATCTTTTCAATGTTTGGAAAACAGATAAAGTTATGGCTGGAGTTTTCGATTTAGAATTGCATGAAGCCGACAACGTCCGAGATGAAGGCTCGGACGACGATGCTATAGATGTTGATGATCAAGTAAGTAGTGGGTCAAACTGTATACCGTATTAGGCCTAACGCTAAATCTAATTACTTTTACAATTGATTTTGATGTGTTTTATCCCATAAATAATCCTCAAGTAATTGTTTATTACATTTAACCAACTCGAAAATTGCCGAAAGCTATCGCAGAATGGCCATTTGCATTACACGGCTAACTGTTACTTTTACAGTGAAATTGATACAATTGGAATAGGAGAGAATTTCATTTATGTAACCAGCAAATACATATGTATGAGCTTTATTGTAGGATTATAAAGGAATCTAGATGTATATTAATCTGTTAAAATCACATATCAATAATGGAAGTGAAAATATATCATAATTAAATAGGTCAACTATATAGAGCCAAGTTATTCAAGCTTGTTATTAGAATATTATAAAATTAGTTCCTTTCTTTGCATTTTACAGTAATGAATAATAATAGCTGTACCAGAATATTAAAGTTTAATTTTGTTGTAAGAACATTTTCCATTTGGTTGATATTGTATAACAGTGAAAAAACTTAAATTGAAATTATAAATGTGTCATAAATCTGAAAATGAAAATTAATTCCAGGTGAATCATTTGACAGTTTAAAAAATTAAAGAAGATAGTGTGAAAAATTTTATCAATGTCTAGTACTATGTTAGATCTGAAATGGAAGTGTGAGCTTTTTGATAGTTTTCCAACTTCATGTAGTTTATTTGGAGAAATTTTTCTTTTCTGGATTCAAATATTCCATGTATAAAAACTTCTCCATTATTTTTGAAGTATTCTATTTTTTCAGAAATTTGTATATACTATATACTAGCATATGTGCCTGTTAAATTTCAATTGGTTAAATTTTTCTGTATTCTTTTTTCATACATAAATATGGAAAAGTGTTTGTTTTTTATCATTGTTGTTATAATTTTGATTATTAAACATATGAATGAAACACAAAAATGAACAAAAAGATTAGTATGACACCAAAAAATGAATCATAACTACATCATATGATAATACCATATTGAAATATGAAGATAAACAACTTAATGTAAATAAGGTTCTCTCACCTCGTTTGCTATTTCTCCTGTGCTATGGAATGGGATGTCTCCTGTCTATAATATTCTGTGTAATGAGGCTATTATTTAACCTATCTACATTTTAATGTTTTAAAATTATTTTATTTACATAATTTGTAGTTATAATTATAAATTCAACTGTGAAATTATAAAACCATTAGGGATTTTAATTAATGATTTGATTAGTTTAAAATGTTTACTTCCAGTGTTAATTGATATGCAAATTGTCAATTTTTCATTAGTTAAGTAGAATTGTTTGTTTTATGCTTCAGACAAAATCATTTTATAATTTTACATGAAAATGTTATACAGAAAATAGAGTTTGCAGTAAGAATATTTGGTTAAATTGAAAAATATTGGACAACAAATTTGATTGTAGGTAGAAACTCCTTTAATACTATAAAAAATTTTTACTTTAAATATAAGCAGAGAAAATTAACTTTATATGTAAAAAATTTTAACTTAAACTTTATACTTAAAATGTTTTTAATTTATTAATTAAACCCACTGCTGGACATCAATAAGATATGTTTATAGTATCTCACTGTCTCTCATCCAGGATGGTTTATTATTAGCTATTTAAAACATATATTTAAAAAAAAAATACTTAAAAACTTAGAAAGTAAATGAATGTACAGTACATAAATGAATGACCAAGGTTATGAAAAACTCTGATAAAAAATAATAGCAATTCAAAAAATTGTTTTTTTATAACTAGAAATGACACTATGGGCAGATTGCCTAGACAATCTTTCTTAATCTAGTTTACAGTAAAAACAGTGCCTAGTCACATGTGCATTATGATACAGTTTAAACTTTGTTACAAAGATGCAAAATTTGGAGCCACTCTAGGTATAATTATACATCTGGGCCCTTAGTCTTGAATTTTTCGTGTTGTACTCAAACTGACGTCATTGAATTCACTCGTGTTACTATGACTCACATAATCGGTAGTCTCAAGTTAGACTCTTCGAGCGAACTCAAAAGGCGAGCAGAAATACATCATACTCACTTGGTTGTGTGTGTCATTAAGCAAGATGGGATTATTTACAATGCATCTGGGTTTGTGACTATAATGAATCGACCAATCAACTTAACTGTAACAAGTTGTAAACAAATCAACGTGAATTACTTTACACATGCTACAGTTAAAAGTTGTCTTATAGCAATATAGTATACAGAAACAACAATATAACAAATACAAAATGAAAATGTCCAATGTTTTATTTTAAAAAATAAGCGAAGAACAAAAAGAAATATTAGTAACATATGTAGAAAATAATAAGAAAATGAATGCTGGAAAATTCGACAATAAATTTACAAGAAAAAGACAATTCGCTTTATGGAGAGAATTAGTTGAAAAATTAATTGCGTGTGTTGGAGCTAAAAAATCCATTATGTAATGGAAAATGTATTTTAATTTAATCCTTTCTTCATATAGTTTTCTTCCTTGATCTATTTCTTAAACTGTTTTGTCTATTAAGAATAATAATAAATAAATAATCTTTTATTTATTAATCAGAACTTAACACTTCTGATTAATAAATAATCTTAATATAGTGTCTATGCTTTTAATAATTTATACATATAATTTATTATCATTTTAATACTCTTTTTCGATGAATTAGATACTTCTTTTTATTTTTGGAAAAATTTGCTGTATAATTTTATCAATTATGAATTAAAATCTTTTTATTAGTATTGACTTGACACGAAAAGAAATGTCATCTACTCGTGGTCGAAAAATTCATTGTCTTCTCAAACAACGTCTTTCGGCTCTTTTTCTAACTCTTTGATAGCGATAAGAATTGCTTATCCATCAGCCATTTTCACTTTCGTGTAGCGATCTCACATGCTCGACTCAACGTGAGTAGCAACTCACGTGGTGAGATGGGAAAGCACGTGAGTTAGACTTCGAGACTACCAATTTGACGTTAGAGTGTGAGATTGTACCACGTGACACCTTCAACACGTTGGGAGTTGTAACACAAAAAACTCGAGACTAAGGGCCCTAAATGAGATGGTTGGAACCTTAGGAGCAAAAAAGTCAAAGAAAGCAAATTGCTACGTGTAACCCTCTGCGAGATAAGCCGCCAAAATCAGTTGCATGCAATCAAGAGTTGTGTGTGTGCTTTGCTAACCTGCTTAGAGGGCAAGCTCCACACTCCCTAAAACTATATAATATCAAGTATTTCTCAATCAAGTGGGCTACTCAAAGCCAGCAGTGTCACATTGGCTAAATTGTTAAATATGATAGTCTTAGCAATACAAGATAAAATACTGAGATACAAGTGATAGTGAGCACTAAAGCACATGAATACATGCGAAGCATGAAGAATAAGTAGTAGTACTGATACAAAGAAAAACTGATCCTTGGAAGCAAATATTTTGTGAAGGGTCACATACACAGTTATGGTTCCTTTGAGTTGTCTGCTTGTACAGGTCTGGGGGGTGAAAATCCCTCATTCAGAGTTCACATCTTATTCCATTTAAACAAACTCTGGAGAAACTTTGGTTATTACATTTAACTGTTTTGGATTTTATGATTCAAGATGTGAAAGCCTACTAATGATCTTTTCTTGAAATTTGATGTTATTTTTTATGAATTAATTTGGAAAAAATGTTTTTTATTTGAATTCCATGATTGTATAATTTTAAAATTTAAAGTTTATTTATAAATCATATAAATATGTTTAATCATTAAATAAATACAGTAAGACCCTGCTTAACACTGATTCGATATAACGTGGTTTGCTCAAAGCCTTAAAAAAGCTCAAAATTTACTCTGATTTAAATTATCTCAACATTTCATTGATTCATACATAATACGATTATTAATGAACGTGAACCAATCAGCAAAAGATGGCAAAAAGGTGTACTTTCTTTAAATCTATGTTTGTTTGGTGCAATTTTCAAAAAAATGTAATATCATGATGCCATAAAAAGTATTGACTTCGCTTGGCAAGAATTAACTGATAAATGCACGAATGAAGTGTGGAAGTTATGGCTGAAGGTATCCAAGAATTCTCAACAAGAAGAGCCTATTGCTGTATCGTTAGGTTGACAATTTTGTCAGTCTAATTGATATGGCAGGACTAGGAGATGTATATTGAGGAGTTACTGCAGATTTCTAGTGAGAGCCTTACCAATGGCCACCTTCAAGAACTGGCAGAAGAAGGAATTCATGTAGAACTGGAAAATAGAGATTCTAAAAATGAAGAACCCAAAAAATTTCTCTTACAGATTTCCTTAGTAAAACTTTGGTAATGATAACCGAAATTGTTGATTAAAATGATCCAGATTTTGAAAGGAGTACAAATGCAAAACAAGGAGTTTTGGATGTGATCTTCTGCTTCTGATATTTGCTTAAGGAAAGAAAAAGTGAAAAATGAAACTTTACGATTTCATTGCATAAAAACAAGAATTTCAGAAAAGTCAGGACCTTTGTCACAAAAAATGAACTTTATATTTCTGCATGCATATGTTTGTGTTGTTTAACATATATTATTATGCAAATTAATATAAAAATAATTTTAAAATTAAAGTAAAATCTGTTTATTTTTGGTCGTTTGTTCACCTATTCCTATTTATTCTGTTAAAATGACCTCGTTTAATGATGTTTTACTTAGCACTTTGTCGTCTAGGAACGCATCCCTTAAGTTAAGCAGGGTCTTACTGTATATTCTTTAAATAACGGAATTTGCATTACAATTTCTATTACTTGATGATTGTAGTTTGTTGCATTTAATTGTGATCAATTAAAGCAAAACATGAATTGAATTAAATTTTTCATTATTTTTGTTTTTAGATTTTTGTGATGATAGTTATATCATATATTTTTCTTGGGCTAAACTACATTTTTGATATTGAAGTTCATTTTTTAAAAGTAAAAATTATTTGAAAATTTGTGTCAATAAAATTATATATGTATTTATATATATACAGTATATAATTATCATTAAAAGTATTTATTTATTCAGATTCAAATAGATAAATATATTATTGAATAGTATTTGTTAGATTAGACAAACTTTGTTATCAGATTTTAAAATATATTTGTTAATATTTACATTTATGAATAAGAACAAATAAAGAATTAAGATTTTATTTGAATATAACATTTCTTTAAATTTTAAAGAAATGCAATAACATTTTTTTCTTTTTTAATTTATTTAGATTGTAAAAAAAAATATATATATATATATATATATCTAAATGTTTTTTCAGAAAATGAATGGTGAACCAGATGTAAATTTGATTTTGAAGTAAGTAATTCTTCACATTTTTTATTTAGAAATAAATGATCATCAGATATTTCTATGAATAATGAATATTCAAATTGAATGGTTTTTTATATGTATCACAAAGTATTGAAACAATAATATGATTTTCGGTTCTAGTAATTTTTTAGTAATGAATAGGATGATTTCATAATTTTCTTTTTTGTACATGATACCTATAACTATGATTTTAAGAACAAATTTTATTAGGTGCTAATAATAATAAATGCTCAATTATTGGTATTTATTTAATAAAATTTTAGCTTTTATATCAATACATAAAGTATTCAGCTTTTGGAATTACTCTTATAACAGATAGGAATATTCAATAGCCATTACTGTTGAGATTTGAGTTACCTTTATAACTTATTGCTGTTAAATCAAGTGCTATTTTTGATTATTGAAGAAGAAAGAAAATCCTTATCTTAGGTGCAAAGAAATTTAACTGGATTGAAAACATTTGTTTTAAATATGGTTTGTATTTGAATAGTAATTATATCTTGTCCTTAAAGGTTGAAGTAATAACCACTTTCAAATAGTAGCCATAGCTACTATACAAGGATTTCTGAAAATGTAAGGAAACAATGTAAAATTAATAAATACCAGGAAATATGGTAGCTAGGTATCATACTTATTTAACAAACAAACTTTAAATAAAAAATGAATTATGTAAAATGTACTGTGAAGTACAGCTGTGTTTGCACATTAAGGTCTTGTAGTCTTTGAATTAAAGTATTTATAAAATGTACAATATATAGTTAGCTGTGTTTTTTTAATTATGAATATTTTTTTATTTCTGGTTTATAAAAAAAGTAACACTTACTATAAGAAAGATTACAGTTACATTTCAAGTGTAATTTACTTTAAAAATTAAACTTTTATAAATAAATATTCAAATACTTTATTAATAATAAGCATCAAATGTGTACACCAAATGTTCAAATGAAATATAACCGCCCTCAAATAGTAATTGTAGAGAAAATATGCAGTTTGAAATAATTATTATTCAAATAAAATCAGTATAAGATTTTTCACTACTAAAAAGGTGTCTTTTTTTTCCTGCTGTCAGTGAATGTTTTCAGTTTGATTATGAAGATATTTCTAATTTCAGATTATGTTACTTTATGATTAATTGGTACCTCAACTTATATTTAAATATGTGATAGGTTATAGCTTATGATACTGTAGATACATTTCAAATTTGACATTTTCTAGTCCAGTCATATTCATTTATTATATATAAAGTAAAACAAGTCTCCAAATTTTAAATTAAATAAAGATTATATAGGAAAATTCTAATAGTTTGTTTGTATGCAAATTTCTTTTAATTATAAGAAATTTGTAGCTTTGTTCCATATGAATGATGATAAAAATATCAAATTTGAAAATGAAATCCTTATTTTTTGATACTGTTTTATGTTAGTTAAAATAAAAACTTTATATGCAAACTGAAAACTATTGTATATACTTCGTAAAAAATTATATGAATTTTTTATGACATAAAAAATTAAATTATATAATAAATTTAATTTTATTTGTTCTGGATACTGTAGTGCTATGTTTTTCAACTGCCATTCTACAGAAAAATATTTGACCATACTGAAGCTAGTGTAATTGATTACTGGGGACACTTAAACAGTAATATAGAGTTACTATACATATTTTATTCCATATAGTAACTCTAGTTAAACATATATAAGCTTAATAAATAAGCATAATTTATAATTGTATATAATTATTTGGTCCATGTAAAATTATCCTTAATTTTATCTGTCTGAAATGAGAAAAAGGTTAAAAAGATTGCTGTATTGTATATAAATTGAAAGTATATAGCAGTGTCTACTGGTACAAAATATATAACAATGTCTGCAATATTCAAAATGTATAAAACTTATCAAATTTTGTGAAAACATAAAAATGTCTAGTAATTTTGCACCTTCTGGTTCCATAGGTGTTGGATTAACAATCTTATATTGTAAATAGAAGTAGTAAGGAAGTCATCTTTAGCTTCAATTTTGTAGCAAAATGGTGGAAAATAATACTGCTGTATGTAAACAAAACATTACATGGTTTAGCTAGGGGTATCTTTTTAATGTATAAATTATTTTAGTTAAAATTCACTTTATAGTGATAAAAAAGCAAGAGTTTATCTTACTGCATTGTAATTATCTAGTCATGTCTAAATTGTCAACAAGATTGACCACGGATCAAAAACAATTTTGAAAAGTTTGTTTTGTCAGAAAGACTATAAATATATATATATAATAATAGTAAACGCAAGAAAAAAATTAGAAAAACATTTTAATATGAATAATATCTATAGATTTAATATTTGAAGGCTACCTGGGCTTTAGACAGATTTGGGTTGAAGATGTAGTCTACATGGCTCTTTGCAGGTAAGATTGTCATAACTCATTCATTTTAAGGATAAGTAGACAGGTGTGTAGGTTAAATAAAATAATTGTCATTGTTATTGATTTTAAGGAAGCTGTGTATAGAATCAATAACATCCTACAACATGGGTTTGAGAGTTGATTTCTTAGCTTTTATTCACTATAGAATGTTAACATATGCTAAAATTGACAATCTGCTTTTGTGTTTTCCTGAGAGTCATAATATAGAAAGAATTAAATTATCAAAAATTTATGAAGTTTCAAGACACAACTGTAAGTAAGAATGTCTAATATTAATAAATAAATGATGGATTGACATATATAAAATAGAAGACAATTAAAAGTGATGTACAGTTGTGTCTTTGGAGTTTCTGAAGAAAATTATGGAGATGAATGTGTGGCATATAAAACACATTTATGTAGTAGACAGAGAATTTATCTTATCTTCACATTTAATAAAGCAGTAAGTTTATTGAATAATTGGTGTTTAGATACTCATTAAAAATTATTAACAAATGCTTAATCGTAGATATTACTAGAATCATTTAAATTCAAAGTTTGAACCTTATAAAATTGCACTAACCTTAAACTTTAGCAGGAAACAGAGTAGGCCCAATATTAATTAAGGCACTCTTTAATGAAATAGAATTAATTCCCCATGAGCAGCAAAAAGAGGTCTTAAAAATCATCAGAACAATTCAGTCTAATTATCAGAGAAAAAGCAAGCTGCATTGGCTTTAAAGACTGGAAAGGCATTTCTACTGCATGGAAAGCGTTTTTGAACTTTTGAAGGTTGGGAGCTATCTAGGGTTCCTGCTTTAATTTTACTTTTAGTATAGTATAGTCTTAGTTTTAGTATATCTCTGTATTTTAATTTTAAAAAAGTTAAAAAATTTGTTAAAAAGAATCCATTGGAAAATTAAAATCTGTTCCTGCAGTGGAATTTTTAAAACTTGAGAATTAGAACACAACAGTCCAAATTTCGAATATTCCATTTTTTTGCTCTTCTCATCAGAAGACTACTGAGACAACTGGCTTTTGAAAGTCTGAAAATGGTGACAGCTTTGTTTCCTGTTGAAGTTTAAGATTAGTGCAATTTTATTTAAACCTTCAATTTGAAGAATAGTTTGAACTTTGATTATTATAAACTTCTAAATTCTGGATTATTTCAGATTATATTTTAACTAACTTAATTATCAGTATTGTATTATGACAATTATCATACATGTAAAGATATCTTTAGTAGGCAAGGAAAGTGATCAATGTTAATTTTATTATTTTAAGTATATGAATGCTGATTGGTTAACTTTCAACTCCATCCCTAACCCTTGTTTGGTGAATATGGTCATAAGTCAATTTTATTATATTTGTTGTCTAGTATTAAATTTATTTTTTGAACTATTTTAAATGTTAGATATACATACATAATAGCAATTGGAATAGCAGAAAAATTCAATGGTTATTTATTGCCTATAGATCAAATTTGATTTTATAGTTAATTTACAGTATTTTCTTATCAGACAACCTGCAGAAAATGTGCAGGTTGTCTGATAAGAACAACCTGCACATTTTCAGACAACCTGCAGAAAATGTGCAGGTTGTCTGAAAAGGTTTACAGATTTTTTTAATGGATGCCCATTATGCAACAGGGGGGTTATGTGCTTATTTTGATTCTAGAATTATGAAAAACTTAAACTGCTTTTCTTATCTGAAGTCATTGAAAGTGTCTTTGGAAAATAGAAAAACCTTTGCACCTTGGGCATAGATTTGTTATCTTGATTTTTTTCGAATTCTTCACATTTATTCTTTTCCTTTAATTTAATTTTCTGTAAGTCAGACTGTGCATGTACATTATTAGACATTCTGTTTTTAAAACTTTTTGTATTGGATAGAAAACAAAATAAAAGAAACTTATCAATAGGTTTGAGTAAACTGTCATATTTGAAATCAGAAATTACTGGACTTTACTTTTATGAAATGTTAGTGAATGATTTAAAAGAATCTGATTTTCCTTTCATACTCATGTATTATGAAATATCAAATAGATAGACAAAGAAACATTTAGATGTTACGATATATTGGTCATGTCAATATGCAGAAGTAAAAATCCATTATCTCAGTAAATATCTTATGGGGCATGCTGCAGCACAGGATATTTCTTCCAATATTTTCATATCCATTTATGATGGCAAACTTTCATTGAAAATTTGGTCATGCTAGATAGTGATCAATTTTGTCTCCAGAATCACTATTGAATCAAATAAACTTCAACTGCCTGGACTTGCAAACTTAGGAACATATTCCTTACATATTGTATTGTATACAAGGCATTTTGAGAAAAGCATAATCAGATATAGGAAGGAAACAGTAGATTTTATAATTGATTTCTATGATTTCTTTAAATTTTTAAAGAAATCATGTTTGGTTTGAATACTTCACAAATGAGAAGAACTTGGAGTAACTCATTTAAAAATTTTTTTAAGTATGTGGAGTGTGGGTGGCTGACATTAAGTCCTGCAATAGAGTGTGCTAACACAGTTGCCAACTCTGGTAAAGTATTTTCTCTTAGACTAAAAGAAAGATGCAAAGATA